CCCCCCGCTTTAAATGATATAAAGCATAAGCAACTTTATCAACAGACAGATTAAATGTATGGTAACGTGCGTTACACTCAACCTTGGGACAGCAACTTTTTGTCATTATTAAAAAATATATTTTGCAATATCATAAATTCGAAGTTAATTAATTCGTGATTATACTAAAATGACATATATTTGACGTTTCCTTGTATTTGGAATACCTTTTTAGAACACAATATTAAGTTTTCCCAGGACACTAACGTACATGTAATTTGTAGGGGTATAACTTAATGAAATATGAGATTAATGACAATTTCTTTCTATAGCTCAGTTTGTACTCTTAATGAAGGATGCAGCATATATGAGAATTCCCTTCTCGTATTCGAGAGAACTGCCTGGGACACTGGGCAATGCACCTCATTATTGTTCTTAGATGTATACCATAAACTGATTGGCGCAACATAAATGTTTTCCCTGAAAACAATTCCCTGTTTTTATTCCATTTTGGGGGAGTGGAGATAATGGTGATTTTATTCATTTTGCCAATTTTGGGCGAAAGATTGACCACGTTACTTTTTACAAGCTAGAACAACTACGTAACTATTTATTGTTGAATTATTGTTGTCAATTGAATTTAGAATATGTCTGACAATGATATACATGACATGTGTTCGTTGATTGTTGGGATTTGTTTCACACAACCTGTCATATCAAGATAGTTTTTGTTTATGTGGGTGTGGACTCTCCAAAGATACACTATTGAATTTCGAAATAAATTTTCATAGTGATCGAATGACCTTTAAAAATGACCACCCCGTAATGCATATTCGAACACAACAAGAAGTCCTGGGCTAATCTGCACTGGCTCGGAAGGTTGTAAATGATTAGCTAGTTTGAATTTGCATAACAATACTGACAATGAACGTGCATTCAACGCCACAAGTTTTTTTGTTTTTTTTAGCCAATCAGAATTCATCTTCCGAGCCAGTGCAGATCAGCCGAAAGTCCTGGTATATCGATACTACAAATAAACCAGATTTGGGAATTCCAATATGGTTGGTTGTTACAGTAAAAAAAAAGGCCCGAGGAATACATACAGAATTCTACATGGCCCACAACGCATCCGAGAATAAGCATAGTTGGAGCATTGGAATATATTATACTGGGATGGAGTTGATGTTGGGCTTTTGAAAAAAATATGTTCTCTTCTCCATTCAAATGTTTGTACGCTTGTTTGTGTTCCCAATTAGTTGATCTATTGTTAAATAATAAATGTCAAAAGAATTCTACAGCCTTTAATGTATATTCTGATTGTTTTTAAGACGAGTGAAGATTGTCTTTCATTGACTATTTTTACCCCACTGACCGCTACCCCAACATCAATGCTTGCTGTCATGGTATATATACATGGAGGCAGCTTTATTGAGCGCAGTGGATACACCTTGATTCAAGATGGACGGTATATTGCCAACCATACTAATACTATCACTGTCTTTATAAACTATAGACTAGGTAATTATAGAGCCAATTACATTAAAAAAGGGCTATACTGAGCTAAAAAATGAAATAAAGTAAAAACAGTATGGGAATACAACTTTGCGTTTGTCAACTCAACAATAATATGTCTACGTTTGATTATTTCCATGAATGAAAAATATTTTTAAAAAGATGGTGCCCACTACAGGTCGTTGTTTAAAGGCTAACACGCTTAAATATCATGATATAACAGGAGAGGAACTGATATGTACATGATCTAATTTGGTTTCAAGGTGCTCTTGGATTTCTGCCGATAGTAGACGAAAGTTCACCAAATGGAAACTATGGTATATTCGATCAAAGATTTGCATTGGAATGGGTGAAAGATAACATAGTTGCCTTTGGAGGCGATTCTAGCATGGTAAGAGACACGAATAACATACTGTCGTAAATGATCATACTCATACTTGTGATTTCTATTTAGAAACACGCATTGGATTGTGGGTAAATCAACACAAATATCGACGTCAACCGACCTTTAAGTTTAATGGTTATTGGGGGAACTAGTAGTTATCACCAAATATGTACCATTATAATTAATAATATTTGTGTTTGTAGGTTACCATTGTTGGACAAAGCGTCGGTGCACAGTCTGTAGCAATACACTTGACCACACCAAGAAGCCAGCAACTATTTCATCGAGCTATTATGGAAAGTTGCCCGCTTGGAGGAATACGATTTCTCACAAAACGTGAAGCTCAAATTCAAGCCAGTGATTTAATGACATACCTTGGATGCATAAATACAAACGAACTCGAGTGTATGAGAAGCAAATCTGCAGATGATATACTTAACGCACAATACAGCATAATACAAAATCAGAAGCTGATGGACTATACTCAGCCATGGGGACCCTATCTAGATGGCAATGACATTGTAAAGCAGATTGCACAATCATTCCTGGACGATGATTACCAAAATAAACCAATTATTATGGGATTTGTTGCAGACGACGCAAGAGATAGCCTGTACAGACTATTTCCACAACCGATGAATGAAACACAATTCAGTGGTTTTTTCTCCAAAATGATGATAGGCAAATCCACGGACATATTTCACCCTTCTGAAAATAACGACTACAGGGATATTGCGTCACAACTTTTACTTCTCTATACATTTGCATGCCCAATAAAATACATCTCACAGCATCTCTCGTTGGCAAACATATCTATTTGGAACTATGTTTTTGATCACCCCTTCAGTTTTGATGGATGGGACCCTGAGTTAACATACTGTACAAATTACTCTTGTCATTGTGTTGAACTACCATTTCTCTTTCATTCAGTTACACTCATAGGACTGAATTATTCAAATGATGAAGAGATTCTTGCCTATAGTCTCATACAATATTGGGCAAACTTTATTCACACTGGTGATCCTAATAATAATAATAATAATTATAATACCAGGTCAAAACAAGAAAATATATCTGCAAATACTCTTTATTGGCCACCACATGAAACATCTAAATCTGAATATGTTAAATTCAAAACTCCTAAAAATATAATTGTAGATAATTATTTTGACGACGAATGCGAGTTACTTAATTCTTTGACCACACATGAAATCGTGGAGGAAGGGGTTTTTCAATGGTATTTTAAAATGTAAATATTCTAGGTCGTAGCTAATATAAATAAAGAGTAAACCACACAATTGCGCAAGATGATATTTTAAATACTTCACCAGACAATACTGTCTAGAATGTATTGCATCCCATGATATGTTGAACTTATGTATATTGTACCTGGAGTAATAAATTGCATAATACAAAACAGCCAAAGTGCCAACACCTATTGATGTTTGTAGTCCAGGGGAAGGTTTACCAGTTTGCTATCGTTACCTACTGTTTGTCCATACAGTGTTCACAAATATGTTACATGGAGTGATTTGTTGCATCAATTAGAATAACATTCGGGTGGGAGGGCGTCTTTGGAAAATATATGCATATATCAGTCAGTTATTTGGAGGGCCTCGCAGAGGCTCACCAATTGAAAGAGTTTGATTTTAGCTGGAAAAGTGGAATTTTCTGAAATCATCACAAAGCAGGAATGTACCCCAGATAATTATCATGATGCTGTTGCACCTAGTTTTCAAGAAGTTGAAAGACAATAACGTTCTTTTGATATGGTTGTACGTTTAGTGAGTGTATCAAATGCCAGGCTTTTTAGCAGAACTTCTTCCATGGTCTTGAAAGGTGGCTCCACATCTAAACTCATTGTAAATTATTGTCAATATATCCTTCCAACTCTAGTCAATGTCAATAGCTACGCAAGCAAGAAATTCTCTTTAGGCTATGCATCATAGAATACATTGGGCATAGGTGTGAGGTGGACATATCCCTAAAAAACACGTCACCCAATTAACAATTAGCTAGAACAGCATATATATTGTAATTGCTTCACCAATTCATGTTGTGTTTGGAATATACTGTGACATAAGTTGTAAGTGAAAAGTACTTTTAGAAAACAGAGCCCTTGATATGTGAACGGAAAGCACACGTTTGGATACTTTGCAACAACCCATTGCACATGTTTATTTTTTATACTGCTGATACAATAACTGGATTTTATTGTCAGCAGAGTTTGAGATACATACATGCTGTCTCCTCTGTGGCATAATTTTATATCTCAGACAGTGGCAAGGTGATTGTGAAATACTTTGGAATGTGCTGAGCCCAGTGTTGTTGGCAATGACAATAGATATGACATCATTGACCAGAGTCTCTTACTTTAAATTGGTAGGTTTTGGATAAAAAGAGTTTATTCCATTATCAAAATTGTCATCCTCTATACACTGATTTGTCCGCTATTTCAAGATAACCAATCATTTCGTTTGATACATTTTATTGTTTGCATGTCCATAATTTAGTTGTAGTCGTTACGGTGAAACATGCGTAAGAACCTTTACTAAAGAAGGTGACCTGACTTGACCCTGTAACGTCCTGTGATGCCGATTCCTGACTCTAGTCAGTTTTATTTGTTTACTGTATATTCCCATTTCTTGCTGGTTCCAGTGACTAGCACCCCGTACTAGTTCCATTGATTTTGTGGAAATGTGCTGCGCATGTTTTTTTTTAAATAGATGATATATAGTGGTGAAAACTGCCTTTATATCTGATGTATGAAACTTTGAAACATTCACACCCTAGCAACCATGCCTGCATTCATAGCGGGCACGTTTTATTCTGAGAACAAGGTGCTATAGAGTAGCTTATGCGAGTCAAAGTGTATAATTACTTGTTGAACGCTTGTACACACATTGGGCATAATTGGCTGGGTATTTCACCTCATTAATATGTATACACGCCATTATAAGCAATATACAATAATAACATGAATGATACCAGGTGGACAAGGTCAACATCGGAAGCGAATTACATTAGTAACCAAGCATAAAATAGTGTTTAATTTCAGCTCATAGACAACATAACCGCCCCACTGAGCAACCTGTGTCCAGTTCAAATATATCCATACATCTGTGACTGATGTTCAGTTATTAGTAACAGTATGTCGACGTTTTTATTAAATGTCAATTTGTTTTTGCTTTTCATAAAAAGGACGTCTATACTCAAAATGTTAAGCAGCAGTTTCCGTAGTCAACAGTTAAACATAAAATGTCAATGAAACACAACTAATATAATGTCAGTTATTTAAAACTTATAATGAGACACAATATAATAAAAACTCTCTCTCTCTGTCACCAAGCAAAATTGACAGAAAGTGAGATGTATCTTTTCCTCTATTCAGTTCAAATTTAAAACGTAAAAAGTAGCATGTTTGCGTTTTTCGTTGTCGTTGAAAAAAACAACTCACTGATTTTCAAACCAAGAATACGACGCGCTATAAATGCGCAGACACAGCTACTCTAAACTACAAACCACAACACAATACTGTACTCGGTGGCGGCGGCATTCTCAACCCAGTCTTGTAAGATTTACATTCTACGCGAGAAGGCGAATAATTAATGTTTTATTCATGATTTAATATTTTATTTTATTTTTATTTATTTATTTTTTGTCTTGTAAAGCGCCTATGAACATTTATTTTGGATATATGGCGCTATATAAGTGCATACTTATTATTTAATAATATTTCGATACAAATTAATTGTCACTAGCTACAGGACTGATTGATTTTGCTCCATGTTTGTTAATAGTTCACCTGACTCCGTTATCTAATATCTATAATCAAAACAGATACAACATTTCTAGTTTAAGGTGAATTATAATGTATTCATCAAAATACAATATTTCAGTGCACCTGGGTTAGGGATGTTTTCGCCTTCACCACGAATTCGAACCCGTATTGTATTTATAATGTTTCCCATATATTTTGTATGAACTTCTAATTGATCATTATAGAAAGCCTCGTTTATAATGATAGAAATACCATCCGGATTATTTTAATCTCTCGCAAATTCGGCGTTATAAGTGCCAATAAGCATACAATGCTTCCAGGTGTGTCTTTTCTACAAAAAATAAATAACGCATGTTGAAAAAAAAACTGTAAAGAATCCCGCCTTGCCGACAAAAAATATAGAATTATATTCACATCCACTTGAAATATTGAGTAGCCCCGATAAGATGTAAGCCCGCGGTGTATTTTTCATTAAAAGAAAGCGAACCTTTATGTACCGAGTCACTACGAGTTCAGAGGTGAAAATGTTTCCAATGTGATCCACATTATTGAAGTTTATAATACTTACAAATAGTAAATTTGATTTTATATCTGTGGTTTTCGGTCTTTATTCCGGAGCACCTCCACCAACAGTTTAATTTAAATCAGATTGTTTGAGATCTTGCGTCTATGGATTACCACAGAAAATCTAAGAACCACTTTTTAATGAAAAGTGATGATTATGACCATTATGCAAAACAGGCTAGTACGCTCGAATTTCCATCCTAAAACACCCCGAAAATCAGGTATTTAGCATTTTTCCTATACACATTTATACCAAGTCTTATTGAAATGTAATAATTGTTTTACGAGCTATAGGTAGAGAATTGGGTAATTATTATGCACATATTTCAACCAAAGTTCACTGAAATGTTATTACCTGTACTTAATAAGTATTAGCAATATTGTTGTGCAAATTATGTAGTTAATATGCACAGATTTGAATATATAACTAATAACGTCCGTGGATTGCTATTACGCATATATATACCAAGTTTCATTGGTACATAGACGCTTTAGGAGTTTCATTTAACTGTAATAACTAGAAGAACCGAAAGTTGACGAATCATTATGTAAATTAGATAATTAATAAACACAGATTTGAACCCAAATCAAAAAAAAAAAAAAAATGCACGAGTCCAGAGAACCTATGTATCAAGGTCCTGCACCCAAATTTGACACTACTGTACATGACGCGGCAATGCTTTCGCTAGCTACGTAGTAGCTACGTAGCTGCCATCTTGCAATGTACATTGTAGTGACATTATTGGAGGTTTGTTGTGTAAGAACACAATAAAACTATATGCTTTTGAAATGCTTAAAATATTATTTCTTTCAATGATAAAGTTATGAACTTTGAATTGCGGTAATGTTTATACAGGTCATGTCGACCATTTTGTCCGATCGAACAATCACAAATATTACCAAAAATCCACAACAGAATGCTCTTATAAAGACAACAAATGTACTTACCACTGTCGCCGCTACAATCCAATGTTGAGCTAATTCTATGAAGGAAATATCGACTAAAGGAAATATTTAGCTGTGCGCGAAAACCGTCCAAATATACAGCGCCCTCTATACACTTATTTAAAAGAAATTGTGGTTGTTGCATACAAATTAGGCACCCTAGCGTACTGCCAAATCTCAGCGGAGAGCAATCGCATGGGAAGAAGGAACTGTTGACACATCATAGGTTGTCATGGACACAGAAATAGTTTAACACTTGCAATGGCAATTTAAAAATATGATCTCTTTTCTGTAGTCAAAATCCACTGTTTGTGACCCTTCTAAAGAGACCAGTGCACATGAGAAAAAGTCTCAATATTTTCACTTGAATTTTGCCAGTGGTATGTCTTGCATACAGGAAGGGAAAGGCGAGACAGTTCTCAAAGGAGCATCTTACAAAATGGGTTGGTGCAGGAGTTGTTGAAGGGCTCAATCATTAAATGACACGTAGAAACAGCATGATCATAGCTCTATTGCAGTTCCCGTCAATGTTTTAGACTCACTCGCACATTTACTCTATAAATCGCATGTTGTAACCATTTCTAATATCTTTTTGCTTTGACTTCCAGCAATGAATCACGTGCCGTGTTGTTTGGTGACAACGACACAGTTTTAAAATGCATGACTTGAAGATGAAGGTTTCCTGAAATACTTTGAAGGGACAACTATTGATTTTCTTTTGACAGTGAGACACTATAAATCACCGTGCACCTTTTACTTTTACATGAAACGTATAGCTCCATAGTGTAGTCTCACTAATCCCCAAAGGCGTTTGAATACAAATTACAAAATTGTTCAGTGCCACCTGCAGTGTCTGTCCCGGCTATATTCGTCAATTCTGGACCGGAGTCAAGAATTATAGACAGAAGTTTAAAATACACAAAATGTGTCTACTAAGGTAAAGGTTACGTAATATTCAGGACATATAAATCAGCTGCGCATATTCGTAAATATCACTGAAGTGTTGACAAACTTTACATTGTATTTACTATTATAATATATCATTTAGTGGACCAACTATTCATTGCTCTTTAAATTATTTTAATGACATAGTTATAATAAAATAAACGGAAAATATGCATTTACAAGTCCAGTCCTGCAGTGACAAGGTTCATGGTTAATACACAGCTGTGGTAGTGATGCTTACACATAAAGAAGCATGGTGTGTGCATATAATTTTACATATGTAACCGGGTGTTTTGTATGTATCCAATATTGAGCAATTAGTACAATCTTTGCCTGTGAGTGAATATGCATCAAAATAACTGATGTCATTATCTAGTCATATGATTGTTGTCTGTGAATTGTATTTTGTCATTCACAGCGTTGTTCATTTACTGTAAAACTTTTTTTTGTCACTGGCGCGTGTTTTTATATAAAATCAGTTAGCCATTCTGTGGGATATTGTTTGCCCTTTTGAAAGTGATACGGATCATTTGATTATTTGGGGCAACATGTGAAGAACAAAAGAATGTCGAAGAATGATTTTCTGGTTTTCCATGCACTATGCATTGGTGTTGGAAATTATGAACTATTGACATAACACGAGAGATGTATTGTGTTGGTAAATATGCTGGATGACTTATGTTGCAATTAGGGCCACGCGATAGAGAAGCGCCCACGAATTTGAAACTCATTGATAGCAAGGTACTATCACTGCGTAACTACGTCTGACGGAACTAAGAAATATGCCAACGTGTATATTTTCGTATGGTGCTGCTCATCTGCCATCTTACACTGGTATAGCTAGAGGTAAAACACTGAATACCAATATATAAAAGTATCCCCAACGGAATACGTATGAGATCACTCCAGGGGCTATTCCTAAATAAGGAGGGGGAATTAATTAGCTTGTTGTTATTTAAACAATTCTTCTGATCTATAATATTGAGAGTACGCCATTTAATTGTGGGATTGTGTACTTGATGCATGACTGTTTTAAGATGAGTACATTAAAAGCATGTTATATTGCTATTGAAAAAAAAGCCTTAGCACTCATTACCAAATGAGGTTTTAATTTGTGAACTCATCAAACACAGAAATTATCCCAAGTTAACACATAGTGATTTGAGTGACCCATAAATATCATGTTTTATATTATTTTTATATGTTTTTCCTCAAACTAGGGATTACTGAAAATATCACTTGACCCGGCTGTGTACATGGAAGAAGTTGTGATTGTAACTAGTTACTTAATGTATGTCAACTTGTTCATTGACTACCCGGGTGATGAATAGTTTGTATGGATGTTGATTAATTAATTGTTCTGTCTCAGATTTGTTGACCCATAGCAATCACGGTTTTTCCTGCAATAACCAGAAGAACCACGAGGCTTGTTTTTACCTCGTCATTGCATACAATGTGGTTACAAACACCATGGTTACATAGATCAATGTACACGATGAGAATGGCATACCATTTTGGAGGCGAAACAGTTTTCGACGCTCTATCACTCTTAGCGAGATATCTGCGGCCATGTACATATTTAAAAATAATTTAATAGTTTCAATTGAATGTATGGCGGTTCTAAATTGAGCAGTCAAATACCGTAATGTAAATATCACCACTCCCACAACGCCATGGATCCAAGCTTACTTCGAACAATATCTTGCGTGTGCCCTATATAAGCTTTGAATATAACTTTTTATGATATTCTGTATAACTTGCATATTCTTTCAAATTTGCACCTAAATTGTAGAAAATGATTTGAGAGCACAGTATAAATGATACTATTTAAATGTTAAGGTTGATTGTTTAGCAAGTATCTTCCACTTCAGACATTAACAAGTAATTCTTGTGAACCTGCAACAATAAAACAGTCCGACTAATACATATTTGAGGAAATAAAAACATGTTTCACTCTCCACGAAAAAACAGTGAATTAGTCTATTCTCAAACTCTCATTCTATAATGCATAACACAATATCTGCTCCTGAAATTGTTATGTCAGTATCTGATTACATTCAAAAACCGGAATGTGCTTACACGTTAATAGAATTTGTTTATTGTTGAAAGAGCTTTTGTCAACAAAGATCTTAATTGCAACGTTAATAAATCATTATTCTTGTAATTGAATACAAATAAGGTTTAATATTCGACGACTTGGGATTTGTTTATATGTTACGACTTTCAGTTGCTTCACCACTCATGTTACCGTGTAACTGCAAGATAATGTACAGTAATTGTGTAATTATCCAGACATTCTGACTGGTTACTTGCGATAACCTTGGAAAGATAACTGACTGTAACATTATATATACGTTGTCAGAAAGCAAGTATCATTGGTTTATATTTTTATTCTTTTTCGCCATCACATTACATACAAATTGGTGTAAACAATATAGTTTTAACAATACCTGGAACAAATGAACCCTTTTATTATTAACATATCATAATACATAATTCCCATATTGGTTAAACACGTATTTGAAAGGTATCCTTCTGATAAGTGCCAGTAAAGGCATACAATGTTGATATTGGCTTCTATCATTAACGACTGAACATAATCAATAACTCATTTGGTTTGAAAAACACCATTGCGAGATAGTAAACACATGCAGATACAACTGAGAAAAAAATAACTCGGCCGTTTCTCATACATGTCGAGTGTAAGAACACAAGTCTACTTTAGCTAATTTGCTTAATTCTATTAGCAGTTGGGTGCAGATAATGTTGATCAGCTCAATAGACTATGCCAATTTTGCATGAACATTTCAACCAAAAACGAACGAAACAATAATAATAACAATAAAAACATTGCGGAATATGACTGAATGTTGGATATCATACTGTATTTTGACTTTGAGAAAAACATAAAACATACATATACCTAATTTGGTAAAGTTTACAACATAACCAGACAAGTTTTTGTTTACAATTAGTGCTAGCAGTATACACATATTATTTATGTACAATACAATTTTAAAATGAATAGGAAATATGTACATTGTCATGGTCAAGGTGTATATAACAATTCAAATGTGTACCGTATGGGTGTAATTGATATCCTGTGCATTCAATATATTTGAACAACCGTCAACTTTGTGTATATTCGCGAGTCGTTATATATGTCGTACAAAGTGTGCTTGAGATCATTATGATCTGGTGAAAAAAAAGAAAATTGTAGGAAAAAAACATAGTGAACTAAAACGTTTCATTACAAGGAACCTTGCAATCATCACAATTCCCGAACCTCATTCATTTTCAACTCTCCTGTTGAGTTGACGCGTATATACAAAGATGAACTTGATACTTCGAAACAATCTGTCAAAAAATAAACAGACAAACTGCTCTCTGATTGGTCTGATTGTGGTTTGGTAACTAATTAGACATAATTCTGAAAGTATCTTGGTATTGACTTCAATATAGTTATTCAATCCACGAATTTTAATTTAATTCAACTCTTAAGCGGACAAGCTACTGATATTTACTGTTATGGTCAGGGCGGCGTACGGGTCTATCTATACCTAAGCGAGGGTATCGAGATAATTTCAAACACATACAGACGCCGATTGGTTCCGTACGCTCGATTGCTGTTTGAGAATTAACAAAGTTCACGAACCAGCCACGGCAGATGACAGCCATTATTTGTCGTTTGCGTAATTCTGAAAAAAAAAAAAATTCGAGCATTTCTGTTTACTTCATACTACTAGAGAGTCCTTATTTGAAAATCACGTTTACATAAGGACTAAACCCCTTTGTGTGATATTCACACTTGGGGACGAATTCTAAAACCGTAGCGTATCGTCTTTTTATGAAAACGGATTGCGTAACTAAAAACACGCCATCGACCAATTAGAACTACGTATACAAGCAATTGAACTACTGGTATAATATAATACATTATAATATTGCTCAGATGGCGATGTTTACTTCGATAATTATTTCGCTAATTCCATATCTTGCTATGCTATCACACAATAATGGGGAGCGCGTCTATGAGTACTTAAATAAATACAGTATTCGATATATGATATACGCTATAGTGTATATGATATATTGCTAGAATTAAAATGAATTTCACGATTGGCGTTTAAAATTATGCAAATTCAGATAAAGCTAGTCAAATTTACTGTGGAATTTTGGCAGAATATTTACTGGAATTCCTCGCCAATCCAAACTCGTCTCAAACACTCTATGTACTCATATATGGGCGCATAGCACATATAAATCATTGTATTGTGACGTTGTATGTTTAAATTTTTGCCATAGTGCTACCTGACTAGCATTACATCGCGATCTACTATGACAAGATTGCGCGTAATTTGTTTAATTAACGGCGACACATGCATGTATATTTAATAATAACTTCACAATTTTATCTTCGGGTGCAACGACTGGTTCTTGCCAATCTATCATCGCGCCAAATGTAAACAAGTCTAACGACCTATATGGAGCAAAATATGTCTATGGCCATTATGGTTTGGCGGGTCGATCATTATTGTTTAGATAAATCACAGTGGATGGTATTTGATACATACTTGAAATAAGACGGCATTGAAGTATAGACGGTATTGAAATCATCCTCTCTGCAAATGCCTCGCGATAGCGATTTAATGACACCGTGGAACTGCTTTCATGAAGTATCACAACATAATAAATAAACGCTACATTTGTATTTGATTTTAACCTAATTACAAAGAATAAATACATTTGTACTTGAATTGATTACTGGATACATATTATATGTAGGTTATATTCATTAATGATACAATATCTACACTCAGAAATCACGTAAATCTGTGTCGATGATTAAATATGATCATAATCAATATAATTATATTAAACTAGATAAAACAAATAATTGAAAACCAAAACTGAATAATACAATGTTGTGTATTCACTTGGTTATATTAATGATATACAACATAGTTAACTGTACGTACCGTGGTCCAACTGCGAGCGAGACATTATATATTTGACACGCGACTGAACAGCTGAACGGGGCAATACATTAACAATGTTTCAGAAAAATTATAATCTGAAGTTTAATAAGAGGTATTCGAATGATCAATAACGACAACACACTCAAGCAAAACTCTAATTAAATTGTACATTTTTTAATGTATATGCAATTATATTTTGAATATAAACAATCCACCACTGTTTCTTGTGAAACATCTGTAAAACATTGACCTGTAGCACGCATACCATTGGTTAGTGGATGTTGTAGATATGAGAACAAAGTCACACATAGCGATACAATTTAGAACTATTACAAACAGCGAGTTCAAATTTGAAACCATTGCCCTTTTCATTGTATTACATTGTCCATGCTAATATTGGATAATTAAAGCGCGGTGGTCGTCGTGCAGCGCGTGTTCGATTTTCATGTAAATAAACAATGTATTTTACACGCGTTGTATGCGTCGCTATGAGTGCCATATCGAACAGGACTTGGCGCGACGACCACCGCCCTTTAAATCACACGTTTTGTGCAGCTTAAATGTAAGCTCTTCTTTTCGACCTAATAATTCGTCGGTGTCATTGCTTGAAAAAATGAGGTCAGGCCCTGAACAATGCATCACCACAAGTGATATCCGACCCTTGAATTTAATTTCATAGTTTGCGGTACACCAATTTGATCGTTAAATCTTCATTGATTTTTTTTTGATGTCTTTGATTTCCTTCTATTTCCTGGATTAGTATAAACATCAGGACAACCACGGTGCACACAGAACCCAACTGTACGAGTTTGGAGCCCCGGAACAATATATCCTGTCTGTTCGCTGATAATATACCTTATAACACATCACTCGTTAATACTGTACTGTAATTGGTCAAAACAGGATCACGTGTTATCGGCTAAATTACCATAGTAGCACCATGGAAATTGGAAATTAATAGTTCCCTAGGGAGACTAGTACATCAACTAGTGCCCGGGGATGACGTCTCTCGTCACTTGATCGTGTGATTTCCAATATGTCGTCTGCTAGTTCGGTCGCTAATATCGATGGTCCGCGTCGAAAGACTGTACGATTTAGCTTCAGTTCAGAAGAAGAACTTGACACACTAGTAGAAAATAAATGTGCACCGAAGACGAAGGACGCAATCAGGTTTTATAGAAGCATCTTTACATCGTTTATTAAGAAATCGGGACACCACTAGCAGACGTCGAGAAGAAGATGGCAGACGATCTATGCACGTTTTTCCGGCAATTCTACGTGTAATGTGTTATGAAACACGTATGTGTTTAATATACGGGTTTCAGGATTAGATATACTATTCTTCGTATACGAACGAGTATACGAGTTATTTCATAGTTGGACAGAATGTCAGATGGAGCAGAAGTTCAAAAATTGTATATCATTGCATCTCACACACCTTCTTATCAATGTATATCTCGTCATCCGCCATTAAGTGTTGCTCCTGTACGATTTGGATGAATTCTAATGAATCTTACCATACTCACCATGAAATGTTGCCCGGGTTGCGTGTTAATATGTTACATTATCTGTACAAAATATCTCATACTGCTGCATCTATACTATTTCATTTTGTTCCAAGGGCTATCATAACTGAGTAGGTCGCTTTGATTATGATTAAACTAGGCTTTTTTATATTCTGTTGTTTGGGACGTCATAGATTCGAATTGCGCATGCCCGTCTAGTCACTGTAACGTGCATTCACCACACGCTATTTTAGACAGGGAACGTTATATGTAGTATTTCTATTTCATCACAGAGCTATAAGAAGCAATTTTCCTATGTGTATCTTCCTAGACCATGCTACTTGCTTGCACGGAGTTTAACCTTGTTGTTGCAAAAGAAGAATTGTGAGATGAGGTCGTGTCTTGTCTTTTGCGAATCTTTTTGATGCCAAGAGCCCGTAAGAATGCCGTTCGAAACTTGGTGGACATGATGTTATATATTATTGGGTTTATGGATGAGTTCATGTAGGTGAAAATACGGCAGATAATAACAAGAGTGTACACGCCCTCAACACCGAGTGACATCTGTTGTTCCGCGGAACCGTATTTGAACCACAAGCTGACGACGCGTTGTGGAAGTAGACAGATGAAGAATAAGGCTACAACAACTATCAGCATGTAGACGACGCGCTTACGCATTTTCATTTGAGCGCGGAATGGATCAGGTGCGCGTTGTCTTGATGTAACTCTGAGGGGGGTATATTCTGGTGGATTGCCACTGTCGCCGTCGTGTGATGTACCTCCGTAAATTTCCATGGAGTATTCCTCGTCCGCCGCCTCCTGTGTTTTCTTGTTGAACACTACTCTGTTGTTGCACTGGGCAGGCATCTTCTTATTCAGCGCAAGTGACACTCTTAAATATAGACCGACCAGTACAAACAATGGCAACAAGAAGAATATCACAGCGCAGGAAACGACGTATATCTCAGCAGGGAGAGAATCGTTGTACGTTCCACATTCATACAGCTCGTCACCATTTTCAGTGATGTCATAAGTGGTATGCTGCGCCATGAATAGATACGGAATACTAGCTCCACACGCAATCAGCCATATTAGCCCACATATCCGTACTGTCTTCTTTGGTGTAATGGTGTATTGTGCCTTCAGTGGATAGCATATGGCAACGAACCGTTCAATAGCCACAGCTACCAGAGTCAGTATGGATGCCTGAGAAGCAGAGTATTCCAGGAAAGGTACCAGTTTACCTGTAAAAGATAAATATATAATTAGAACTGTTATAGAAATCAGTCGTACACGTGCTATCGGGTTGTCTTTTGACCTGTTTCGTCTGATATTACAAAATGTTCACCTGTCAAATATCCATTATTTATGTTAAATGTCTTTTTAATCAGGTCGAAACAAAATTAAAACACAAGTGGAAAATGACAATCTTGTGACACGACATAGCCCTTAGTTAACCAACCATTGATCTAAGCCCAATATAGTCGTATAGAGATTTCAACAAACTACTAGACATATAACTATAGCAATATACATTTACACTCATGCATCGTAAATCTTTCAATCACTTTTCATTTTCGGAAAATTATATCTTAAACGTTCAATATATTATTGTTTAATAGCCTTACCAATTTGCTAGAAACTTGTTATGGTCCGTACATATTCGACCTATATTGTGTACGTGTATGGTTGCATTTAAACCCACATAGAAATGTAATTTCAGATTGTTAAAACAATCACTTTCCTCTCATTCAGTATGAGCTTACATATAAACACATGGAATTGAACGAATGCTTTCCCAGCTATTGCTCTTTATCTAATATAACGTTGTTAATATCAATAACAGTAAAAAACGATTTTTTTAATTAGAGTTAAGGTATCGATGGATATATTGTAATTAAAATGACGCGATACGTGTTGGTAATTGAACGAGATCTTGACCGCCCTCACAAGCTAGCAACTGTAGACTTTCATGAGGAACACGGCAAAAAACACAAACACAAAAAACAAAAAAACAAGAAACAATTTCTAAATATGAATTACAATGGATGTAGTTTAGCGCATACATATAAACAGGTGAAATAGCGAGCGAACTTTGAATCGACTTTATCTCTAATATCGGACCAGTTTTATTTATGTAAGAGCGCGCAATTCCAAAGCATGATAAAGAACCTAAAGATGTTCGTTATTCAAAGAGATCTCCAACGGATTAATAAATCTATTTGTCATCTACAATCCCATAAAGCTTGTGATTTTGTATATTCTTCTGTGAAAGAATTTATCGCGCGTTCGTAGATCTAGTCATTAGTTTAAGAAAGTCAATGATTCGTGTAAAAAATGAATAATGCTTCGTGATTAACGTTTCAGTAGGCGCAGGTGCCAACCTGCAAACCCTGTATTCTACTCAGGTTTTGACTTTATATAACATTGGTTCGATTACTAATGAATACAACTTAATGAGCAACGTTGCAACAACTTTGAGTGATGTCGTCAGAGTCTAGATTAATACTAGCAAGTACACGTTTAAATCTAGGAGTGCTTCGGTAAAGTTCTTATGTATATATGCAGGATAAGCTAATGTGGCGCCAATTTTTAAGCAGATCAGGCTTTTATTTTTTGGTACAAAAGTAGACGAACATCAGTCTCAATCGATGCTTTAAAGACCTCATGTAAGTTATTTCCCAGAAAGAAATGCTTGTAGTATCCCACATATAGATCTGTAGTTAGCGCCTCCTGAGACAAGTGGGCTTCGCAGGTTTTTGAAGTGTTGTGAACCTGAGGCCAATTAGACAATAGTTTGCTTTGACATTATAGTGATCTAGATTCGGGTGAGAATAGATTTGAGTACAAATATTGGGCAATGCGACGTATTTTGTAAATCAGTGGCCGTGTCATCCTTTAGTAACCATTTCCGTTCTTGTGCTATTCCATATTGATGGTAAATGTTGTCGGTACATCATTTTGTCTATTTTATCTAACAACAACCTTTTTATATTCTTCTGTTATAATCTTCTGTTTTTTTCTAGATTATTCATACCCGGGTTATTTATGATAATGTGGTTCATTTTAGTGCAAAACGCATATTTCTATTGTTTGTAGATGTTTTTTAGCTTGGCGCTCAACTATTTTGTGACTCCACATTTTTCTTCACTTGAAGCGTTTTTTGTTTGTTTATTCGCCACTCTTAGTTTACAATAATTCTCGAAGGAACAATAGCTTAAGTTAATACATCAGACAAGATTGTGATTACTTGAAGTGAAGCGATCAGGCATAGATTGTTTATGTTGAATCGGGTAGATTTGATACTTATTGTCAGGGACTTTAATATGTATTTCATTCTTCGTACATATATGGTAGTAGGTTGATGTGTGTGGTTTAGAACTGTCCGGCATGTCAATAAATAGGTTGAGGGCGCAGATAAAGACCCACCCCGCTGTAATAACGAGGTCATTTATTAGTCTATTGTATTATTGTTTAAAAAAGTCCGAACGTTCTGCACCATTGGTCAGTGCATAAACAATAAGTGGGATTGAGCACTATCTACCTTCACGTGGACATATAATGGAGGACGCCATTTACAAATAGGACATTAAATTTCTTATTCGGATCGAATAAGATTGCAACGCCGGATAAATGTTTATTTGAATATGACATACGCCCTTCATATAACGTTCAGTGTCCGGTCGTCAAAAGCGATGCTTTTCGTTTCCTTCAAGAAATAAAATTTCAAGTAATCAATACATCCGTGAACTCACGAGGTGACAGAGAATGTATTTCATGACTTATTTAGAAGGCAGTCTGTGTTCACGTTTGAGTATTTCACCAGAAGTAGTTTTACGAGCATCATCATTGTGGTTTTTTGTATACGTGTTTCGTTCTTTATTGGGGCTTTCTGAGTTCCCATGGAAGAGTGTTTAATGTTTTACGGAGACGCGAGATCAGGGCAGTCGTATGCTCTTACAGCATTTTTTGTATTATATGCATCCCCTTTCTATCCTCTAGATAGATCGTCTTGAATGATTTGAGAAAATCAGGCATGTCTAAACAAATTTCATTGACTAATAGCCTGTGTGACTCAGTGGGCATGAAAAGAAGAAGAGTCACCCTCGCGGTGGCCGTGGGGACAGACTGAGGAGTTTGCACCCTAACCTCACCGGAACCTACAACACCGGAGGCGTAAGTTGTATAATAAGAATATAGAATAATCAAATTGGCATCAACCATCCTGTTCATATTATCTGTATTCAGTTCTGTCATTGTGAATTAAAAATATTTTCTTACCAATCACCATGTGATCAGTCAGTGAATTCTTGTCTGTGCAATATTTTGCAATATTTTGTCATTCATTTTCAACTTAATACCGATTATTTCAGCATGCTGTTAGTGATGTATGGCATTTATATGTATTTTCACATTTAAAATATAAATAAATACTATGTTGAGGTGAAAAAAAAAATTACATAAATTGAAAAAAAAATATAGTATTTACATATTGCCAAGTTATCAAATTACCCCCCCCCCCGCTGTGTGTGTTTTTTGAAATGAAACTTTTTGTATTGTTCGGTACTGCATGTGGAAATCACATAAACTTCATTAATTGACAACGTGTAGACAATTTTTGCAGGCTGACTTGGCAGGGTGCATGCGTGCAAGTGATCATTCTGGCAGGCCTTAGACATATCGGGGCCTTGTTGGAGCACTTAGAGGAAATGACAAGCTGTGTATGTCTTGTGAAAATTGCACAATTTGTTTGATGCCCTGTAATCAGAAGAGATTGATTGTAATGTATTCTGAAGCATGTCGAGTTTACAGAGCAATAAATGATTAAACAGACAGTTTGACATTTAAAGTCAGTAAATAAACGCGACTTTCTCTAGACAGAATTTCCGGTGTGTAGAAAGTGATTCGATGATCAGTTTAAATCAGTTATGATAAAAATATGTATTTGACAAGTTTTGAATTTGTTTTTGCGATATTGTATTGGTCTATAACCTATTGTATATGAACAGAAATTGATTTTAAAACTTTCCCTTTCCCTTCCTACGAAAGCCAATAGAATGGTAAAATTGAAATCTAGGGATAAAAATAATATTTTCTTTTATTTATTTATTTATTTATTTATTTATTTATTTATTTATTTATTTATTTATTTATTTATTTATTTATTTATTTATTTATTT